GTTTCAGACTCCCAACATCCATCCAGTCCGATAACCGGCCCGCCTTCATCAGTCAAATTACCAAAGGCATCTCTACATCCTTAAGAATAAAGTAGGTTCTCCACACACCCTACAGGCATCAATCTTCAGGCAAAGTTGAAAAAATTAACTCTGTCCTTAAAGCCCAACTCACCAAGCTGGCTCTAGAAACCCACCAGTTGTGGACAAAAAAAAATCTCTCTTTCACCCTCATGAGACTGTGCAACATCAAAAGCACCCTCTTTTTATAGTCCCTTTAAATTAATCATTTAAGGCCAAACTTTTGTCCTAGGTTCGCCACCCTTACCAGACTCTGAGCCACTCAGGAATTACCTCCCCTCCTTAATCCAGACACGGTCTTTCATTCGTGAAGCAGTAAATGAGGCCATGCCTCTCCCTATCGACACCTCCTTGTCCTCTCAACTGTCTTGCAGGCACAGATGTGTTTATCTGCCAACCCGACCCTCACCAAAAGCTACAACTGAAGTGGACAGACCCCTACACCATGACACTCAGCAAGCCAATTGCAGTAAGAGTCCAAGGATTCCCTGACTGGTTCCATCGCACCAGGGTCAAGCTCACCCCCAAAGCTACACCTCCCTCCAAAACATTAACAGCGGGCAACATCCTCAGAGTCCCTGTGTATGATAACTTAAACAGAGAAAAACAATCCTTAAAGGTAGGAGGAAGCCAAAGACGGCAAGAGGACGAATGGCCTCCGCAACAGATCATCGAATATTACAGTCCTGCCACTTGTTCATGGGGTTGTCACACTCCCATATATATGCTAAATAGAATAATTAAGGCTACAGGCAGTTCTAGAGATAATCACTAACCAAACTGCCTCAGCCCTGGAAATGCTCATGCAACCACAAAGCAAATGTGCACGGCAATTATCAAAACAGGCCAGCACTAGACTACTCATTAGCAGAAGAGGGTGGGGTCTGTGGTAGGTTTAATATCTCTAATTGCTGTCTTAACATAGATGATAACGGAAAAGGGGTTCTAGAAATCACTTCAAACATCAGAAAAGTAGCCCATGTACCAGACCAAACCTGGAAGGGATGGGATTCAACAAACCTTCTAGGAGGGTGATTCTCTAATTGAGGAGGATTTAAAATGCTGGTAAGGACAGTAATCTGACGGCTGACTCCATCTTGCTTCTAACCTGACAAGTTAACTCTTGGCTCATTCCTGGGCATAAGTCAAGCTAACTATGGGAGAAATTTAGCTTATAGTTTAATCTTAAAACAACGAACATAATAACCCTTTCCCCAAACTCTCCCATGTAGTTCAGGAACCGAAGAAACCATGTTTGTAATACTAATGAAAGTACACAATATTAGAATTTTGGGAAGTGCCTAAATTCTGCTAATAGCTATGCATAGTTCAATGATAACAAGTCATGGTTTACTACTCAGGAGTCACATAAGGGTAGTCACAAGATTTGTAACTTCCCTAATTGCTACTATAGATAACATTGGCATTGTAAAACCTAAGACTGGTGTTTGAGATATTTTTGAGACTTTGCATTTCCATTGGAACAACTGACACCCAGACCAGTGATCCCCACCCAGGAACTGACTCAGTGCACAAAGACAGCTTCAACACCCTATGGTTTCATCCCCAACCCAACCAATCAGTAGTCTCCATCCCCTAGCCCCATGCTTACCAAACTATCCTTAAAAAATCCTGTCTTAAGAATTCTCAGAGAGATGGATTTCAGAATGAACTCCTGTTCTTCCACTGGCCAGCCCTGCAATTATTAAACTCTTTCTTTGCTGCAAAAAGCTGCTGCTCTCAGTGCATTGGCTTTTGCGGACAATGGGCAAGATGAAACCGTTGGGCGATTACACCCACCCTACACAAAAGACATTCTCTAAAAACTGTCATATCTATTATCTGTTCTTCCAAAGGACCATTTATCTTCTAAAAAATCATTTGTGGCCGGCATGGTGGCTCACGCCTGTAATCCCAGCACTTTGGGAGGCTGAGGTGGGTGGATCACAAGGTCAGGAGATTGAGACCATCCTGGCTAACATGGTGAAACCCTGTCTCTATTAAAAATACAAAAAAATTAGCCGGGTGTGGTGGCAGGCACCTGTAGTTCCGGCTACTGGGGAGGCTGAGGCAGAAGAATGGCGTCAACCCAGGAGGCAGAGCTTGCAGTGAGCCGAGATCGCACCACTGCACTCTAGCCTGGGCGACAGAGCAAGACTCCTTCTCAAAAAAAAGGAAAAAAAAATCATTCATATTTCCTTAAGTGCTCCTCTGCCCTGCCCCATCTCCTTAATGACATAGGATTTTTCTCAACCACGTTGCCAGCCAGAGGCCTCTGGTTGGTGATGCCCTACCCAGGCCTTGCTGGAGCCCAGGCTAACCACAGGAGATGCCCCGTCTACTGGCTCGCTGGGCTGTGCCTGGCATGCCCTCTGGTGCAGATCCTGTGGCCACCGCAACCGTGCACTCAACCCCTGGCAGGAGGGATGTGTGAGCTAGTGAGTGTGGGGTTCCGCTGGTTGCTCCAAGCACCAGCACAGGAGCAGGCTCTGTGTGGGACTTGTGGCTAGACCAGGCATGTTGCAAGTGACTCCTATGGTGGACTCTGGCATCCAGATGAGGGGAATGTGATGGCACCCAAACAGGGATGCCCGTGACTCCAAAGCCCCAGAGTGGGTGTTACAACATGTGAATAGCTTTCAGTCCTGCCTTCTGCAGCCCGAAATATGTCAACATGTTAACAGCTCTGTCAGTCCTGTGGTCTCGCTCTGGCCTACAGCTCCAGGGCTGGCTTGGCCCAACAGCTGCTTCCCATGTTACAGCCTTCTTTGTACCCGCATTAGGTGGGTCCCAAGTTCTTGTCCTGCATTCAAGAAGAATGAGGTTACGCTGACAATCAAAAAGTGAGGAGGGCAGAGAAGAGTTTTATTGAGCCACAAAACAGCTCTCAGTGGAGAGGGGATTCAAGGGTGGTCCCCCACCAGAAGTTGGGTGGTCTCTCTCCCAATGTGGCTGGGTCCGGGGCTTTTATAGGCTCAGAATGGGGGAGTGTGTGCTGATTGGTTTGTGCATATGCAAAAAAGGCTAAAACAAAGGCACCACTCAAAGGTGAGCACAACTGTGTAAAAAACCAATTAGGGAAGGGCAGGTATATGTGAAATAGGTGATGTCTGGGGATCAATCAGAGGAAAGTGCACTAGGTGAAGTGTGTGGATCAATCAGAGGGAAGTGCACTAAATGGGAAGAGAGATTCTTAATCTGGTCCGTGGATTTATTGGAGACTTGTAGCTTGGCTTTCATGCTTTAAATTGTCTTTGGTTTGAAGGTGGGGTTTCACCAGGGACCCGCCCTTGTCTCCCTAGGATTTGTCTGCCTCCTGCCACTATCATTAAGATGGTATATAAAGTCTCAAATTTCACCACACTTTTGGATATTCGGTTCTTTCTATATGCCTCCATGCACATTAGATTAAAATTTAAAAACTTGGCCTGGCGCGGTGGCTCATGCCTATAATCCCAGCACTTTGGGAGGCCGAGGCGGGTGGATCACAAGGTCAGGAGATTGAGACCATCCTGGCTAACACAGTGAAACCCCGTCTCTACTAAAAAATACAAAAAATTAGCCGGGTGCGGTGGCAGGTGCCTGTAGTCCAAGCTACTCGGCAGGCTGAGGCAGGAGAATGGCATGAACCTGGGAGGTGGGAGCTTGCAGTGAGCTGAGATGGTGCCAGTGCACTCCACCTGGGAGACAGAGCGAGACTCTGTCTCAAAAAAAAAAATAAAAATAAAAAAACTTTTATGCCTTTTCTCCTGTTAATCTGTCTATTGTCAGATGAATTCACAGCACTCCCTGCCCAGCCACTGAATCTAAGAAGGTGGGGAAAAACTATTTCCTCATCTATGCTGGAAAGCATGAATGTGGATTCTTGCTTTTCTAATCTATGACTTGAATAGCTTCTGTGCAACATCCTGACTTCCCAGACAATTCACCTGTGCGTACCACTTCTGTGTAAAGACTACCTTTGTTTTGTTTTGTTTTTGAGACGGGGTCTCACTCTATCACCCAGGGTGGAGTGCAGTGGCAGTGATCTTGACTCACTGCAAGCTCCGCCTCCCGGGTTCATGCCATTCTCCTGCCTCAGCCTCCAGAGTAGCTGGGACTACAGGCGCCCGCCACCATGCCCGGCTAATTTTTTGTATTTTTGGTACAGATGGGGTTTCACTATGTTAGTCAGGATGGTCTCGATCTCCTGACCTCGTGATCCACCCACCTTGGCCTTCCAAAGTGCTGGGATTACAGGCGTGAGCCACTGCGCCTAGCCGGATTTTTTTGGGAACGTTTAAAAATGTTTCTATTTTGTGCCACCTTCCTTTAGTGAATAATAACCCAAGTTTTGTTATTATTAGTATATTGGTTTAGCTAGGTTTATCTTGATAAAATTTTACAAAAATATACTTTGTGGCTGGGCACTGTGACTCATGCCTGTAATTCCAGCACTTTGAGAGGCTGAAGCAGGCAGATCACTTGAGGTCAGGACTTTGAGACCAGCCTGGCCAACAGGGAGAAATCCTGTCTCTACTAAAAATACAAAAATTAGCCAGGTGTGATGGTGTGCACCTGTAATCCCAGCTTCTCGGAGCTGAGGCAGGAGAATAACTTGAACCGGGGAGGTAGAGGTTGCAGTGAGCCGAGATCATACCACTGCACTCTATCCTGGGGAACAGAGCGAGACTCTGTCTCAAAAAAAAAAAAAAAAAAATGCTTTTCTTTATTCTTTGTTTCTTCATCTATTTGACAAACAATGAAAGAAAATATTAAAGGCTAGACATCATTTGCGGTTTGTGTCCCATAGTTTGCATTCCAGATTTGACCTGGTGCCTAGAACCTGCATATACCTGACATTGCCACCCAGCACCCAACTCTACCACATCTGTATTAGTCCATTCTCGCACTGCTATGAAGAAATATCCAAGACTGGGTAATTTATAAAGAAAGAAGGTTTAACTGACTCACAGCTCTGCATGGCCTCAGGAAACTTACAATCATGGTGGAAGGCACCTCTTGAGAGGGGCGCAGGAGAATGTGTGCCAGCAGGGGAAAATGCCAATTATAAAACTATCAGATCTTGGAGACCCACTCATTATCACGAGAACAGCATGGGGAAAACCACCCCCCATGATTCAGTTATCTCCACCTGGTCTCACCCTTGACATGTGGGGATTATTACAATTCAAGGTGAGAGTTGGGTGGGGACATGGAGCCAAACAATATCAGCATCTCTCCTGATTTTCCAAATGCAAATGTCTTAGAGTCTCTAGCTGAGGAATATACAGTTCCTGACTTGCCCTTTCTCTGACCACCCCACAAAAACACCATATTGGAATCAGACTGAATCTGAATGCCGGAACTAGAATGCCCCCTCCTTTAGGGACGTGAGCTCCATAACTCCTCTCCACATTCCTAACCTGGAAGGGTGATCCCTTCCCTCCAGAAGTGCTGATCCCAGCATTTTTGCTAAAATAGGAAGCTAAGGTAGAAACGGAGAGAGAGGAATGGTGGGTGGGATATTTTGTTTTTTCAAAGACTCTGCACAGTATCTTCAATTAGATAAAGTGGCTGTAACTTTTCTTCTATTGACACTGCCCTCTTTCCTTTATTCTACTGCCTGCAAAAGAAGGCAATTGAAGAAGCCTCAAGTACCAGGGCAGGTTTTGGCTAGCTGAAGAAAGGGTAGGGTATGGGGGGAAGACTGGAGGTGACCATCTCGGGAGTGGGTGAGAAGTGAGAGCCCAAAATGGGTCTTCTTACCTCTGGTGCATTTTGTGCTCTTCTCTGGTCTGACATCCGCCCAGATTCATCCAGAAAATGATGGAAATGATTTGAACAGGATAAGCTAGGGTGAGGATTAGACATGATGAATTCAGCTGGAGACACTCATGGTAGAGTCTGGAGGTCTCTTTGGGGGATCACTTCCAAAAGTGCAGATTTTTAGAGAAACGAGAAAGGTTCTGGAAAGGGATGTTTTCCTTCTGCTCAATGGCAGTTTCAGGCTTCCTATAAAAAAGAAGTTTGTAGCGTCAGCATATTTGACAAATGGGGGAGAGGGAAGATTGAAGAGCTTGAAATTGCACTGCACTTCCCAAAGATGGAGAAGACATCAGGGATGAATTTCAAAGGTCAAAGGTGATAGAAATGGAACTGCCCTTTGAGGATTTCAAGGGGAGAGGGAACAGAGGCCTCACCATCAATCCACACGTCCTGTGCTAGAGTCTTGCGGTTCTTATTTCCTCTACTCTCTTCCAACGATTATTCCCATATATCAAGGCCATCTGACAGAGTTAACCATCAGAATTAAATAGCAGTTCCCACAGAGTTCCATCCCCTGGAGAGGTACCTAGCTGCCCGGGCAGGCCTGAAGCCTGGGTCAGGCGGCATTGTGTCTTTCACTCTCCACTGAGGTCTTGGACTGAGAGCTTCAAATTCCAAAGGGATGAGGTGTCGGCTTCCCCTTAGGAGTTTGGAGGGCTCTGACCAAGGAGAAGGGCGGAGCTCAGCCACTGGAAGGTTTGTTTCTTGCAGTGGAAGACGGCTGGCGACCCGGATGGCTTTTACTTTGTTTCCAGGGCCAGCCTAATCCGCCCGATTCTCGATCGCTATACTGCCTCCTTTTCCCATGCACATCGCAAGGGGTCGGTTGCTGGGGCCCTCGGTATGACTTCGCTATGAAAAATAAAGGTCTTCTTAAGCGGGAGAGGATTGATTTGAGGACGGAGGGTGGGAGTAGTGCCGGCAGCACTTTGTCCTAGTGGCAATGGGTGGGCAGTTATCAGTTGCAGCCCGCTCCTTTCTCAGTGTCCACGGTTTCTCATTGACAGTGCAGCTCGTTTCTCAGAGCCGGCGGATGTTCACGGGCAGCACCATGGAGCCAGAAGCAGTTATTTGTCCTGGTAGGTCATTTCCTAATTGCCGAAGTGTACTAGGTTCCAGTCCCTCTGGTTTCTGGAATCTGCTGGTCCCACGCGAAACACCAAAAGGTAAACCCAGCCGGCAGTTTCCGGTTAGCACTTTCGCTATTTGAAGACATTAGGAAGTTAGGCGGTGGCTCCGTGCTCTTCCTTTCTCCATCCGAGGCCTGTGTCCTAAAGTCGGTGTCACGGTGGCAGCACGCAGCGTTTTGTTGGCTCTTTCGCCAACAGCGCCGAGCCGGGGGGAGGGTTTCTGTCACAGCACTTGTTGCACCGAATTTCTCGGTCGCAGAACTTCTCTTTTCCGAGGGTCGACATTTTCTCCGTGACAACACAGTTGGTTGCGCCAAAACGGATGTTGTCCTTGGGAACTCCTCCGGCTGGCGTCACTCGCAAAGTCCCGGCACCGCCATTTCGCGGAGCCGAGTTCTCTTGGTGGCGGCACAGCTTGTTCCTCGGTGCCTCCATTTTCTCGGTGGCGGCAGCGCTCTGGTAGCTGATCTGAGGGAGTTGGAGTCGCAGCCAGTTGCGCAGAGTCTGGCGTTCCCGGGTGGCGGCGGCGCTGGGCGGGGGAGCCCGCCGCTCGTTTGAGCCAAGTGGCAGAGGAGCTGCGCGGGCGCCGTCTCTTCACAGCGCCGCGAGCTGCGTCGTAGGGGTTCTGGCTTAGCCTCCAGAACCCAGTCCCCTGGCGGCGGCGCTGCTCGCGTCTCTGTCCCAGGCCTCTGCGGTTTCGCGCGTCGTTGGCTTCTTGGTTCTCCCAAGTTTCGATTTTGCGGTGCCTGCGATTGCTACCTCTTGTCTAAATCAATAGCCAAAATGTGATTTCTCAGCCTAAGCAAGTCCCAGTTTAGGGCAAACACCGGTCTAGCCCTGGCTGCGATTTCTTGGTCCTAGAAGTCACTGTTTAGCAAGGCAGACTTAACTGTGCGATGGTAATTTCTTTTTCTTTGATTCTTTTTCTTTTTCTTTCTTGATACGGGGTCCGGCTCTGTCGCCCAGGATAGTGTGCAGTGCCGCGATCTCGGATCACTGCAACCTCCGCCTCCCGGGCTGAAGCGATCCTCCCACCCCAGCCTCTGGAGTAGCTGGGACCACAGGCACGCGCCACCACGCCCGGGTAATTTTTAGTATTTTTGCTAGAGACGGAGTTTCGCCATGTTACCTGGGCTAGTCTCAAACTCCTGATTTCTTAATCTGACCAAGTCAGAGTTTAGCTATTTCTTACCGTAGCAAGTTGAGATGTATTCTAGTTTGCGATTTCTAGCCGTAACAATTCTGACTTTAACCATGCCTACATAATTTTAGTAGCAGCAAGTTTCTCTTTCGTAATAAGAACCTCCATTATCGCCACCCGTGTGGTTTATAACTCCTGTATTAATCTGGGTACTGGAGAATGCAATTTAAAAAATTCAGCAGTGCCTGGAATTTTTTATCATACCAAGTTAGAATTCGCAATACTCTCGCCCTGGCTATACTGGTGATTTTTCACTCATGTAGAAGTTGGGGTACGTAGGCTACAGATAATTTTTGGTGTCGCAAATACCATTTTAACCATGGCTGTTCTTAATCCGAGGAAACTTCGGATAAGCGCAAGAGGCACGGGTTTAGTGTTAACAAATATAATGGTAGGATCGCACCATTCGACACTGTTTGCAATTTCTTTGTAGGATTCTTTGTATGTATACTCAAAAAAAATTTTTTTTTCGGTGTATCTTGTTCTGGAAGCAAGGTTATTGGTGTATTTTATTTTCGTTTCTATTTGCTTTTAAAATTTTAATTATTTTAAATTTAAATGTTATGGTATTTTTTTCGTACCCACTGTCTTCCCCAGTAGAATAAATGTGGCGTATTTCTTCTACTGATTTTCAGTGTCACATCTCAGGTTCTTTCTAACTTGCCTTCGCCCGTGAGCACTGGAGGCGAGCTGGTGCCCCATGGCTAGGGTTCTCTTCCGCGGCTCTGCTCTTATACCGAGCCAGCGGTTTCGCATTCGCACTTTCGCCACTAGGGGCGACTCAGTGTTTTCTCGGTTGCTGCACTCTTGGTAGCGCTGAACAAAACAACGTTCCTCGTTCACAAGACTCAAAAGTTCTTTGTGGTATCGCTTCCTGTGTCCTAGCACGGCTACTTTCCCCCGGCTGGCTGTCTCACTATCTCAGCACCGTAATTGGGCGAGACTTTGCTGGCAGGGCTTGGCCTTGGTTTTTGTGTCACAGGCGTATTTCACTGGGTAGGCGCTTTCTCGGTGGAAGCACCATACAACCTTCCAACCCCTCATATTTCTGAGACGAGTTTCTTATTAGCAATACCTTAACTGCGCCAAAAATAAAGTTTGCCGCAGGGTACACCGCTGGTTATTCAGTGTCGACACTTGATCTTGATGCACGATTTTGGCTCCTCAGCTCAGCTAGGTCCAGGTTGTTGTGTTTTTTTTTTTTTTTTTTTTTTTTTTTTTTTTTTTTTTTTTTTTGAGACAGAGTCTCGCTCTGTCGCCCAGGCTGGAGTGCAGTGGCGCCATCTCTGCTCACTGCAACCTCCGCCTGTCAGGTTCAAGCGATTCTCCTGTCTCAGCTTCCTGAGTAGCTGGGATTACAGGCGCACGCCACCACTGCTGGCTAATTTTTGTATTTTTCGTAGAGACGGGGTTTCACCATATTGGCCAGGCTGGTCTTGAACTCCTGACCTCAGGCAATCCACCCACCTCGGCCTCCCAAAGTGCTGGAATTACAGGCGTGAGCCATCGCGCCCGGCTAAGTTCGGGTTTTTGTTTCACCATGAGGAAGAAATGGGCACGCAGACATCGAAGAGTGAGTGGAGTAGAATTTACTAAGCGACAAGGAGAGCTCACAACAAAAAGAGGGGTCCTGAGAGCAGGTTTCCGGTTGCCCCCTTCATATTTGAATACAAAGGCTTTTATATAAAAGCTGATGGAGCTGGGTTCCCTGTTTGTATAAGGTGCAAATTCCTGGTGGCTCCACCCCCATTCCCCCAGTGCATATGGGGGCATATTTAGGCTAGGCCCCTGTGCAAGTTTTTATTCCGGAGGTTCTGTGGGGTTGGATATTTAGGAGCCACATTTATAGGGACTTTTCTTTTAAAAGAAACACAACTGGCCATTAGAAGCATGACACTGAGTAATAGATAAGTCCTAATCATAGTCTTTATTTTAAGACATGTTTTCATAACTGGTATATGCACTTATATTTGTTTATCCACTTGTTTATACTAATGCATTAAACCCTACAATTGACACACTAATTTTCAACAGTTATTATTTCAGGGATGCATGGTATCCATTTCCTGTTGTTCAATTTCTCTCCTTCCATGTGCCTTTACATTTCTATTTTTAAAATGTTATTTTTTTCTAAATTCCAACCTGCCGCCTTTCTTTTTTTTCTTTTTTCTTTTTTCTTTTTTTTGATACTGACTTTTCCTCTTGTTGCCCAGGCTGGAGTGCAGTGGCGAGATCTCGGCTCGCTGCAACCTCCGCCCCACCCCCTCCCCGGGTTCAAGCAATTCTCCTGTCTCAGCCTCCTGAGTAGCTGGGACTACAGACGCGCGCCACCATGTCTGGCTATTTTTGTATTTTTAGGAGAGACGGGGTTTCTCCATGTTGGTCAGGCTGGTCTCGAACTCCTGACCTCAGGTGATCGGCCGGCCTTGGCCTCCCAAAGTGCTGGCAGGCTCTTGTAGTCCCAGCTACTCGGGAGGCTGAGGCAGGAGAATGGCGTGAACCCGGGAGGCAGAGCTTGCAGTGAGCCGAGATCATGCCACTGCACTCTACCCTGGGGGACAGAGCGAGACTCCGTCTCAAAAAAAAAGAAAAAAAAGGAAGTGAGAATGGTCACATGGGAAGCCTGCTCCATACCCAAATCACAAAAACACTTTACAATTCCACTTTCACAATTTGTTGCCATTTTCTTATACTGATAATTGGTATTTAATTAATCTAACAAGAAGTGCATGACAAAGACAGTTTTATTCCCATGTTCCATTCAGATTGTAGCACCTAAGCTCCTTTATATTCAAATTCTGAACTGTCACTGTGTGAAAAAAAGTCTTCATAGCTAGACCAAATTAATGCCAACACCAAGTTTCTGGGTTTTAGTTTCTAACATCTAAGATGACAGAAAAGTTTCAAAGTCCAAAGGGTGATTGCTACTGCATGTTTTTTTTTATCTCTTTCTGAAGACAACCATTTTTCTATGCCTGACACATTGCAGGTTGAAGCTATGAGGATGCATAAATCTTTCTCCTGGGATACCTTCAGGAAGGAGTGAGTCTCAGATGTGCAGGCCCTGAGATGGATAGAGTTTGTGAGAGAATAGCCTCCTTGGGCCAAGTATGCACCTGTGATGTACTTTAGCCTTCAGTGTTGCTAGATCTTGAAGTTTTGCTGAATATTTGGTTTTGCTGGATCCAATCCATGTGAATTTCTGAGGTGGGCGGGCCCCACATTGTCAGAATTATGCAACTGTCTGAGAATGCCTGACCTGGAGCTGATGCCCTGAAATGCCATGATTGTCAATTCAAAAGGCAAAGGGCTGGGGGTCTTCCTCATGGCCCACTAAATTTAATTTCCACCTCTACCCTGTGAATGTAAACTTTACACTGTTGAAGGAACATTTATTGACAGTTGTTCTCTGCTCTCAGCAGGGAGGCCAAGCTCAGTTTCAAGAGAACCCCAGGACAGTGGACCACTGCTCCTTCCCACCCTGGTGATATCCATAGCTATTCAAAGGCTCCCTGGAGTTCAGCCTCCAGCTCTGATCTGGGTCCCAGTCCCTTTCATGCCCCCGCCCACCTGTGTGTGTTTCAAATCCTGACTCCACCAACCTCAAATCTATTTCACAGGTGGAGAATATGGAAGAATGCTTTAATCTTCATGTACAAAGAACTATGAACTCTGAGAAGATCTAAAAGTAGAGTTCCTTAGCACATTGTTGATTATGCAGATAGAATTTTTCCAATTGAAAAACCTTGAAGGCATTCAGAAGATGAAGAACAAAATATGGAATGCTCTCCACTGCAGAGACTTCCAGCTCCAGGCAGGGCACGGTCCTATGAAAGTCCCCAAGAACAGCATGAGGGCTCCCACTGGGGTGCATGAGCTTCTTCCAGGGCATTGATAGAAAGGAGTGGTGCCATGAGCCATGACCAAGACTGGGGTTCCTTTGTTTTCTGGGTTCTAGTCTGTCCTAAGCCTTAGTTTTCAGCAATTTCTTCTGGGCATCCTGGGCTCTGCTCTGGGCATCTATCTGTCCAACTTCCGCTGGTTGGCATCTCCGCTTGTGATCATGGGCCATGTGTTGTGTTGTCTAATAGCCAACACCTTAGTTTCTTTTTTCTGGCTCTTGTAATGATTTATTGGGGAAGTAGTTTTTTATAAATGCTAACTTGCTTTTTTAAATTTTTTATTACTTATGAAGTTCACGTAAGCGCACAACGTGCGGGTTTGTTACATATGTACAACATGTGCCATGTTGTGTGCTGCAGCATTGACCGTCATTTAGCAAACAAAAAATTAGGTATTCCCCTCCTAATGCTAATCCCTCCTCCTCCCCCACCCCCGACAGCCTGGTGAGATGAATAATTCCCCCACCCTGTGTCCAATGTTCTCATTATTTAATTGCCTACCTATGAGGATAACATTCCGTTTGTTGCTTTTCTGTCCTTGCGATAAGGTTTGCTCACGAATGATGGTTTCCAGCTTCATCACTATCCCCTACAAAGGACATGAACTTCCTTGTTATGGTGCCCATAGTATTCCATGGTGTATAGTCGGCCAACATTTCCTTAATCCAGGTTCTGTCACTGATGACATTTGTCGCTCTGTGGTTCCAAGTCTTGCTATCAGTGAATAGTGCTGCATAAACATACATGTAACATGTTTTTATAGCAGTCTTTGATTTATAACTTTCGGAAGGAACCCAGTAGTGGGATGGCTGGATCAAATGATATTTCTAGTTATATGATCCTTGAGGAATTGCACACACTGTTTCCACAATGGTTGAACTAGTTTACATC